AATCTCTCACCTTTGCTCCATCCCAAAGCCGGAAAAGCTTGCTATGATGCATCTTTAGTTCGACAAGGAAACATGGTTCAAAACTTGATGGGAGTGATTTGGAAGGGTACCAACTCCAACGAATAATTCTCAATGAATTTGGAAGAACTCTGGGGGCTAAAGAAATGATCACATTATCAAATTCAAGAAGCCTTAATCCATACATCTCAGACAAGGCTTCAGTACAATTCCAATGCACCACTTCTGATACAGGAAAATGTAAGACAATGGCTTCAATTGCTCCCGTTCCCTAATAATTAAGACAAAATGAAAAGTTAATTGCACATTCAATTCTAATATCGTTTTAAAAGAAATGACATATAATTTCTTCCAAACATAATATTTCTACATAACTTCATACCGTATTGTTCATGAATACAAAAGAAATGTCGTCGCGGAGCCACAAAAGACTGCGTTGACCGGGCTCTTGGAGAGACTCTTGACGAACAATTTGCCATGCCATTTCTTGTATCAAATCATGCATCTGAACAGTGTTTCTAGGAGAGCGCTTTTTCACAATAGTTATGAGAGATTTCTCAATAAGAATAGCTATCACAATACGACTGGAAATGTCATAGTTACTGTCTAGTATTTCAATTACTTGCTCTCTATGCTTCCCCTTATGGAAACATGCAACATGGAGAAAAAATTTCTTCTCCATCTCTTTTAGTCCATAATAACTTACTTTGAGTGAATCAAAAATTTCTGGATCAGGAATTTTCTTTAGATTATACAACACACTATTCCATGTATCTTGATCTCTCATATACAAAGAACTCCCCAAAGTTTTAAGAGCTAATGGAAGGCCTTTCGCATAATGTAGGAAACACTTAGACAATTCCAGGAAACCTTCCTCAGGCTGACTTTTCCTAAAGGCGTTTTGACTGAATAGCTCAAGAGCTTCATCATCATGTAATGCCTTGACCTCATATGGTATCGTTATACCATGTTCAACTAGTAGACGTTCATTTCTAGTAGTGATGACAATTCTACTCCCCAAACCAAACCAATTTTTCTCTCCAACCAGTGTTTCAAGTTGTTTTAATTGATCCACATCATCAAGGATGATAAGAACCTTTTTATTGCATAAACATTTTTTAGTGAAAAAGATTCCTGACCGTTCATCTGTAACTTGGATAATATTTTCCTTTAAGATTGGGGAAAGAAGTTGTCTTTGTAGATCAACAAGACTACCATGTTTTGCAGAAACCTCTCTCACATTTGATAGAAAAGAGCTAAGTTCAAAATTATGGGAAATTCTTTCAAAAACTAGGTTAGCAAGGGTTGTTTTCCCTACCCCGCCCATCCCCAATATCCCTACAAAGCGAACATCATTTGCCTCGAGATCCAATTGCAAACGTAGTTGCTCAAGGGAAAAATCAATTCTGACTAACTTCTCTTGAGAATCTAACCTCCTAAATGTAGTAGGATTCACTTTGGCCCACACACGTTTGACAATGACTTTGATAAGCTCTCTTTCACACCTACAAGGAAGAAAAGTAAACTAACCATCAGGAGGGTACATATTACATATAATTAACAAGGTTGTTGCATCAAAGGAAGGACTAAAATGTAGCATCCAAGTAAACTCTCTAAAGTTGTTAAGAAATGGGCAATTTGTTCATGCCTGCATGCTTACTTATAATTCTTTGAATCTAAGCCAGAGAGATTGGCAACTTTTCTTAAAGCAGCTCTCCACCGATTCACCTTCTCTACATCTCCACTAAACTCTTCATGTTTTGAATCCCACCCGAAGAGATTAGCTGCTTTTCTTAAAGCAGCTCTCCACCAATTTACCCTCTCTACATCTCCACTAAACCTTTTTTCATGCTTAGTTAAGGCTTCCGCAAAACTCCCTCTTTGGTGTCGTACATGGGAAGGATCCACGTCATAAAAGATTGGCAGAATTCTCTTAGTGTCTTCCATGCATTCAAGAATCTTTGAAAGTTCATCCAAGCACCAGGTGGAAGAAGCGTAATTTGGCGAGAGAACAATGATGGCAAGATGTGATTCTTCGATTGCAGTCAACAGCTCCGGAGAAATACATGCCCCTATTTCAAGGTCTGGATCGTCCTTGAAAATTTTCATTCCTTGCCAGTTGTGCAGTTCGTCGTATAAATGAGATACAAAACCCCTGCGAGTGTCCTCTCCCCTGAAACTCAAAAACACATCATGCTTCCAATGTGGAGGAGCCCATTCAGCTGAAGTACGAGCTCTTTTGGTGCTCAAGGCCATTGGAAAAGAAAAACAGGCCCTAGAAACTGCAAACACTCAGAAAATACATAAAAAGAAAATGGTAGCTTTAGTGTTTTTTTTGTTTTTTGGGTAATTGAAAATGTATTAAAAAATAGAGAATAAGGACGTAGAGCAAATACCCAGCAAAACAAGCTAGAGATCAATGAAAAGGAAACATCACCTCGGACAATAAGCTCAGCAGAACACGAAAAGAATCGCAAAACCAGAGACTTGGCAGGAAGGAAAAGAACCAACCCAACCAAAAACAAGATCCAAAGTTGACTCTCTGCTGAAGAAAAAAACACACTGAACTATTCCCACGAAAGTTGTAGGAAGGAATAGATGAAAAAAAGAGGGGATGTAGGAAAGGAAATAATGGAAGAGGGAGAGACAGAGACAGAGAGAGATGGAAAACTCTGTGTCCGCGTGGTGGTGTTGACCAAAGAAAACCGCACACGGTTTCAATTGGAATCTAAGTCAATAGATTGGAGATAATGGAAATGGGGTCTTTTTCTATTAGAGAAGTTATTACCTTTGTCCAAAGGTTGGTGATGGGTATTTATAAAAGGAGGAAGGTCATAAAGATCTTTTGGTGAATGAGATCTTCTTTCTCAATCTCCCTGGTTGAGTTACATTTAATGTTACGCTTATGTTTCACCCACATTCTTGACAGAGATCAGGGGATGTAGTGGCAGGAGAATAGGAATGGGAGGTGCATTGAATGCCCTCTTTGTATTATCAACCTGCTTCACTTTGGGCTTGAAGGGCAGGGCGACACTCGCAGCAGAAAAATATAGATTGCATGTTATAGATTGCATGTAGATTGCATGTTATACAAATTAATAAAAGATACAAGTTCGCAGCAGAAAATGAAAAAAAATTATACAATATTCACCCGAGAGTTGAAGGAACAGATGAAAAGAGGAGGGATGGGATATGCGCAGGAAAGGAAATAATGGAAGAGAGAGAGCGAGAGAAACAACACGGTTTCTTTTTTGTTTTCTTTTTTAGTTATTTTTTGGTGTCGGTGTGGTGAGTCTTGTCTTATGTGAATTGGTAGAATCGGTTGGTCTTCTTTCTCACGTCAAATTGTAGGCCCTCAAGAGGAAAAAGAAAATTTACAAGTGGTGCCACAAACTTAAAAGTAGAAACAAGGAAACCACCGAGAAAGAGCTTAACTCTGAACATGTCCAATAATACCCATAAGGGTCCACTTTAATTGTTTCCCCTGATATACAGATAGCTTCCTTCTCTGTTTACAGAAATGATAATTCACTAATTTTATTTTATTTTATTTTTCATATAAGCTGTT